TCCTTCCTTCCTTCCTTCCTTCCTTCCTTTCGTGATTTTTGTCTAGTTTTGTTATTAGGGTAAATCTTGTCTCATAGAATGAGTTTGGAAGTGTTCTTTCTCTTTCAAGGTACAGTGCAGTGTGTACATTTGGGGATGTAGTGCCTGCCTATCTCTATAGGCTGTGCAGCAGTGAGACTACTGTAGCATGCTGGGAAAGTGTGGTGCAGTACCCATGTCTGTGTCAGTGAACGCCTTTCATTTTCTCATAATACTTGAGAAAATCACCTTGGAGGGAGGAAAGATTTATTTAGGCTCACAGTTTCATTCTGTGGTCAGATACCACCTTTGTTTTGGAGCTTGTCAAGAGGCAACACATCAAGATAGGAGGGTGTGGCAGAGCAAAGTCACTCACTTTCTGACAGTCAGAAAAACTGAGAGATAGGGAAAGAAAAGGAGGGGGAAGGAGAGGGGGAGAGGGGGAGGGAGAGGAAGAAGAAGCAAAAAGAAGAGGAGGAGGAGGAGGAGGAAGAGGGGGAGGAGGAGGAAGAGGAAGAGGAAGAAGAAAGAAAGAAAGAAGCAGAAGGAGAAGAAGGAGAAGAAAGAAGCAGATGGAGAAGGAGAAGGAGAAGAAAGAAGCATCTACCCTGTGACTTACTTCCTCCAACTAGGCTCAACCGCCTACATTTCTGCCACTTCCCAATAGTCCATTCAGTTATGAAACCATTAATAGGTTAATCCATTGATGATAGCAGAGCCCATGTGATCCAGTCATTTTCCAAAAGCCCCACCTCCATTGCTGCATTGGATGCAAAGCATTCAACACATGAGCTGTGGGGTGACACTTCCAATTCAAATGGTAACACAAGACAAAAGTGGGGCTGGGGAGATTGATGTAACTTGTAAGGCAACAGAGGCACAACACTTTTGTGCATTTTGGGGACATCTGTCAGGCTCTAGGGGCTGTTAGGGGAGTGGGGTCTTTCCAATGTGCCTGGATCATTGAATTCTGGCAGTAACAGGGATAGGATGATGTACACCTGGTGCAGAGTACACCTATTTGCTATGTGGAGGTGGAGCTAATTCAGTGCCCTGTGCTTATGGCAATAATAGCTGGGTCTGATTTGGTTTGGCTTCAAAATAGCTCCATGTGTCTTAACTGGGGAGGTGACTGAGTGTATGCATTGGGTTCAGTCACTGTAACTGTATAATTGTGTACATTGCCCACCTGCTTCCCAAATGGGCTTGGGGCTTATAAGGGCCCCAGGATTCCCCAGAAGCAAAATTTTAGGTGTCCATGATGCCATTATAGATGTTGAGGGCCTCTTGTTCATTTTTTCCCATTATGGGAGGATTTTCCCTGGTTCAAACTGGTCCAGAGTGGGGCAATGGGGAGGTTGACTGAAGGCACTTTGTTTTCTTCTTTACCAGACCACTTGGTGTCTCTGTATCCCACAGTTTGTTTCATCTGTGATGCACTGCCGTGCTCTTCCTGAATATTCTAGTTGGATAGCAGCTATTCTTTGTTTTCATCTTTGTATGTAGTTAGTTCTACCCTATGCTTCGAGTCAGCCACCTTGTTGCAACTTTCTTAATTACCTTTTTATATAGACATCACATAAAGTAGAAAAAGTACACAGCTGTAGGGCAGGTGCTTCAGCCAAGTTTGGATTGCTGTGAAGCTCCTTCTTGACATGAGGTATGCATTAGCTAGCCTTTATTTCATCCCAGAATGTTGCCCCTTGGAACCTACCCCTGTTCTCCATGTCTGCAATACTCTCTGCTGCCTATATTTACCTCTATCCTGCTCCAACTGTCATGAGTTATAAGAATTATCAGAGTATTCTATGGGTGATAGTATATCCTTGGACATTCTAGAGGCCACAACATGGGAGACAGATCAAGTAAGGCCCTAGATCGAGTAATTGGAAAGACTAAACTTAGCTGAAGTTTTAAGTAAAATGAATTAAAAATTTATTCTGTATTTTTGTTTCCTCTTTGAGACAAAATGACAAGGTAGTATGAAAAACAGGATGGAAACAGAGCTGCTGCTCTGTATGCAATGCAAAGTGCATTATTTTCATGAACTCCAGGAGTCAAAACTGGGTTTTGGTGTTTTGCATGGAAAGTACCATATTTTTCTAAATGTATGTATATAAATGAAATGATTATGACTTTCTGATGAGAAATACAAAATAGTTATAGTTGTAAAATAATGTGTATTTAATGAAAAAATTTGGAGCTGCTTAGTCACTGAAGGTTATTGTCTATGAAGGTCTTTCCTTAGTGAAATTAAATATCTCAAGTTTCTGTGTGATTTAGCCTTATTATCAGTAGTAAAGTACCTTTGAAAATCCATTTTAATATTTCTGGAGATTTTTGTTCTCCAGACTAGGTCTTTTGGAAACATATTTGCTGGTTATCATGGTTGATCTATAGGCGTTCCACTGGCTAGGATATGGTGGGCCAGGTAGGGAGATAGAGGCACCCATAAATCACTCAAGAAGTGGTCAAGCAAACACTGCTTTTGGACAGGTTCAAGCTTCTTGCAAGTTTCTAGCTAGGCTTTCAGACTGGCTGGGTGGTTCTCCTCTCCTCCTTCTCCTCTCCATCTTCCTCCTTCTCCTCTTCTCCCCTTCCTCTTCCCCCTTCCCCTCCTCCTCCCCCTCCCCTCCTCTTCCCCCTCTCCCTCTTCTTCCTCCTTCTCTTCCTCCTCCTTCTCCTCCTCCTTCTTCTCTTCTTCTTTCTCCTTCTCCTCCTTCTCCTCCTCCTCCTC